CCAGCTCTGCCTGGCAATCCTTAATTTGACATTTGTCTCCCAGCTCTGACTCCTGTGTCCGCCTCTGCCTTGCAATCCTTTGCATGTGTCCTCGCAAGCCTTTGCATTTGTCTCCCTGCAACCCTTTATATTTGTCTCCGTGTGTCTACATTTGTTTGCAAGCTCTGGATTGCTGTGGACGTCGCAAGCTCTAGTTGCAGAGTGTTCCGTTTTTTGAAAAACACAAACTGTTTGGGGTCTACGGTGGTGTAATTGTCCCCTTCTTGTTGGTCATTGTGTCCGCCTTGTCTTCCTTCTTTCCTTTACATTTGCCTCCTTTCTCCCCCTCTCTCGCTTGCAACCCTTCACATTTGTCTCCCAGCTGCTCTGCCCCAGCTCTGGGCTGCGAGTCGCTTGCAATCCTTTACATTGTCATTTGTCTCCCTGTGTCTACATTTGTCTCCCAGCTCTGGACTGCAATCCTTTTTACATGTGTCTCCCAGCTCTGACTGCTGTGTCCGCCTCTGCCTTGCAATCCTTTACATGTGTCCTCGCAAGCCTTTGCACTTGTCTCCCAGCTCTAGACTGCTGTATCTACCTCTGCCTTGCAATCCTTTATTTGTCACCCAGCTCTGGGCTGCATGTCGCTTGCAATCCTTTACATTTGTCTCCCTGTGTCTACATTTGTCTCCCAGGTCGCAAGCTCTAATTGCAGAGTGTTCCGATATTGAAAAACACAAACTGTTTGGGGTCTATGGTGGTGTCATTACTTAGGCTGGCGTGTGGCAAAACGCAATCGTGTCAGTACGCAATTTCTTGAGTGTGTGGAACCTTTTGAGTCACAGGGAGTCCTTTGATTTTGATCCCTCGAGTGTGTGAAAACCTTGGAGTTACAGGGCAACCCTTGGAGTCGCAGGAATTGCAGCTTTGTGTCTTGTTTCATTTGTGTTTGCAGCTTTGTGTTTCGTGGGCCTCCCAACCTGTAGCGCGGGCCTCCAACTTTGTTTACCTACTAGCGATGACCTCCAGCCTTGAATGTTTTGCGTTGCTGCAGCCAACCTACTAGCGATGGCCACCCAGCCTGCTCGCGATGGCCTCTCACCTTGTGATGGCCTCCAACCTAGATGTACTGGCTGTTCTTGCTAGTTGCGTGTTCCTTCTCTAGCAGTTTCCATACCGGTTGCCCTTAGGGCCGGCGCGTCCGCTCTGTTTGACTGGATGCGTTCCTATTCAGTCTGCAGAGTGGGGGTATGGGCATAGACAGTTTTTCAGCATGCATCTCGAATTGTGTTTTGGTTTTAGTTTTTCGTTTAATTCATGTTTGCAGTCTTGTTTCTTGTAGGCCTCCAAGCCTGTAGCGTGGGCCTCCAACCTTGTGGTGATGGCCTCCACCCATTAGTGACACCCACCAACCTTGAATGTTTTGCAGTTGCATGTAACCAACCTTACTAGCAATGACTGCCAACCTACTTGTGATGGCCACATAGCCTGCTTGCGATGACCTCTAACCTAGATGCAATGGCCTCCAACCAACTTTGTTTACACTGGTGCCTTAGGTTTTTACTTAGACCGGAGTGTGGCAAACCGCCCATCGTGTCCGTACGCAATATCTCGAGTGTGTGCCATGCTGCAAATGCCTGAATTTGCCCCAGCCCAAACATTGAACATTGCGTGCCGCCTGCAGTATGGACATCATGAAATTGTACCGCCCCCACCATCCCCCCACCGCCCATGCCTGACAGACCATGTGTGCGCAGATGAGGCATTCTAGATCGATGTGTGCACGGAAGAGGTTTGTGTGTCCGAATGAGCCGTCATCCTGTGGCCCTGCTTTGCCGTTCTTGGCCCTTCGATTTTACACTCTCTTCTGACACCCTGAAAAGTATAGTGTAGAAGGACCTCTGCAAGTTTTACCGCAGCAGCCCTCTTCTTTCCTATCCTTCATTCAAGCACTTGAACTGATTGGTTTATTGTTTATTGTTTCGACTGGCAGTTTCGATTTGTGGGCCTTGTTTATCCAATTATTTGTGCTTTCCAAACCTCGACACAAGTGCGACTCTTGCAGGCGCTTCGCCCCCAACCGCAGCAGGCGGATGAGGCTCTATTTACCTTGGCTTATATTTTAGTTGCATGGCTTTGACAGAGTGGAAAACACTTTTTGAACTGAGACAAACAGCATCCAAAACCAGAAACGGCCTCAGCTTTCACTGCAAACAACTTAAACATCTCATGATTATAGAAGGCTTTGGAGCGAGTAAACTGCAAGACAAACATGCTTGTTTCACCTTAGCGGCTTAGCGCTTAATAGCAATTGCCTTTGAAAGGCAGCTGGCAGCGGGGCTGCGCCGGTGGGGCCTTGGAAACGAACGAGCTTATTATCCAAAGATCAACACAAACGAAAAACCCGAGGAGGCAAATCAGATCTTGAGCTGTAGGTGAAGAATTGTAAGGTCCGGTATTTGCATCCCAAGCAAGGTAGGAAGCAGTGCTTGTACAAGTCGGGCAACTTTTCGAGATGATAGCTTCGATCAACCATTGGATTGCTTTGGTCTTTGTAACTCTCCATTCAAAGATCAACACATAGGTCTGGAAAGTGATCCCGTACATTTTATCAATTTTGAGGACACCATCACAATTTCATTGGGGATTTGTGTGCCGCAATTTTTGGAGACATATTTTCCCAGATTATCTCCCTTTTTGACTGGACGTGTTGCGCAACCTTCAGATTCGGAGCCATCAACGTGCACTTGCCCTGACCCTTCAGCTTGATGAATTGGAGCGGCAGGACTGGCGGAGGGAACTGAGTTAGGCTACCTGTTCCATGCTTGAGAATTCCAAATTTTAATCGCTGTCGATGTGCTTGTCTTCATTGCAATCTGGATCCTTCGAGTTTCGCTTTGTCAGGCTGAAGATCTTGCGCGAGAGCAGGGGCCCTTCAAGACTGTAGCTTCAAAATTCAATGTGAATATTTTTCTAGTTACATTCTAGTGCTCAACTTTTCGATCTTCTCTGTACGTTTCAAAGGACTTGAATAGCTGAATAGCTCTTCCAAGCCTGGTTGTCCAATCTTTTGGAAGAGTATTGGGTCACATGACTTTACTTGGCTCACTTTACCCAACCTGTTGGTTCTGCACGCGACATTTTTCAATTTGGCAATCTGAGATTCAGTAGCGGTGTGACAACATTGAGGCGACGGCAGTGTGGTGAAGCAACGGATGACAAATAAAGTGAGATCGACGACAAACTTAAGAATTTGATGACAATCTTGTGAAAGCGAATCATGTGGCCAGACCGAACTGAGTGACAGAAATCCAACGGGATGCAACAATGCGAACATGCGCAACAAAAACATTCCGTCCGGCCATGAGATGCTGGTTTCGGAGCCTTTTTCAACTGTCTAGAAGCGAGCTTCTTAGGCGTGAAAGTACATATATAGGTCTTGTCCTACGTTCGCCAGCAACAACATATATAATTAAGTTGTATAACCCTTTCCAGACAGGTGACAAGTTATCGCAGCCACATGTTGACCAAAAAGAGAACCAAAGACAGACTTCAGGTCGCACATTTGGGCTGAGACATGTCATCACTCATCAGTTGCGGAAATTCAATCAAATATTCCGACTCCCGAAAAACATCTCTGTTGCTCATTCGACAGAAGAAATCCAGTGCACAACCCCAAAAAGGTCCTTCCGACCGAAGCATCATGTTTGTGGACGCATCCACACTGCACGCTAGTGTGTTGGACCCTCCGGCCCCACGCATGCTCCGACTGAAGCATCATGTCCACGGACGGACGCAAAAATGCTAGACGGTAAACGGAACAGCAAAAGCATGAAGTAAGAACAGCCAATTTGCGGCCTTGCTTTGACCATCAACGCCGAGTTGTGTAAACAACCAATACAAACAATCCAGTGAAACTGCGTTTTATTGGGATTTATCACGGCACAAGCATAAAGTTATTTCTCGTTTTAGCAGCTTGCAGACTGAGGACTGGGAAGATACAATCCAATCTGTACAAGGATGGACCTTCTGCAGTTTCAGAAATACAGTTCAAAGGAATTCTTGTTGCAAAACTGTAGTCCAATAAAACCGCTTACTGCTCTCGGGATTTAGCTGAATCTTGTTCTTTGCAAAATTGGTTGTGCTGACCTTTCACTGAATTAGGGGACAAATAGTCAGCGGAATTCGGAGTCAGGAGCCTTTGACCACAGTTGTGCGGGCAGGAAACTTAGCTCTGAAAATGATGTGGGAGATGAAAAGGATTAGAGTCTATTGTTTTAGGTCTGACGACAGACATTGATGGAACATGAAGAAACGAAGAAAATAATACAAACTATTTATTGTATTGCAAGCTGCGAACTCTGTAGTGCGGCAGGTCTTGGATGCCCATGCAAGTGCCCTGGATGCCATCTCTGGACAGGTGTGATCTGAGCCTCAGACCACTTTGAGCTGTGAGATTCGGATGGTTGAACATCGAACTTTTCAGAACGTCACAGTGGTGGCAACCCTCATGCTGTAAACTGTAAACATGTTTTGTAAAGATACTATGTGACCATCGTTTACAAGGTTCGGGATTAACATCTCAGTGCAGGTGACATCGGTCACCCAGAGGATCCAGGTGATTGAGGGAGCTCTCTGAGTTGTTCCGTCCGGTGCCCTAAGCTGTCACAGTCGGTGTTTGGACATCGGAACTGAGAGACATTTTGTGATCATTTCTCCGTTTGGCAAGGTGACAGTGTAAGTAGCTTTCGTAATGTTAAAGGGTCCAAAATCCTTTTGAGGCTCAACTTGGTCCTTCCACTTTGCCGTGTGACCAGCCTGTTTTGTGAGAGCTGAGTGAGCTGATAGCCAACTTCTACGGGTTTGCAATCGGATGCAGGGCCTGAAGCGCTCGTGAGTCTTGCTTGCGTCATGGATCAACGTTGCTAGAGTTCTCGATTTGAAGCAGATCTTGACCATGTGTTCAAGAATTGGAATCTACAGTTCTAGCAGAAGACCTATATATCAATATTCTGGGCACTACCTTAATACCTTCTGCACTGACAACCCTTATGATCTCCGTCAACACGGACCTTACGATGAGGGCCTTGGGGCGTATACCACGTCGCTGCATGGGCTTCTTGGTTTGCTTGCCAGCCGCCCACCTGGCTCGTCCAGTCATTTCGTTCGCCAAGTGGTCACGCAACATGGACACTGCGGCTGGAGCCAGCCCCACATGGGAAGACATGTGGTCCAAGGACATTTCCAGAGACTTTTTGTCATGGTTTTCAGAAAAGTCACCGAGAGATTTTGCGGTTTTGACTTGCTTGGCCCAGGGCGTGAAGTCCAAAGAAAAGTGGGACGTTGGTGAAGCTTCGCCAACCCTGATGGAAGTGCTGAAGCTAAAGCTGCCTAACCACGATTGTGCTTGAGTTGGATATCCAAACCGGTATGTGCATTGGTTCGCGGAGCTTCTTGATATTTTGCTGGGCCTGTATGGCAACCTTTCCATTCATGCTTGGAGTTTCAGTTTGATTTTGAAAGAAGTCAAAAGAGACTTTGAGTATTCTTGCGTATCCTCCAATCTTGAGAGTCGAGGTCGTTAGGCGACTGCAGCGGCCAGCGTGTTCTAGTGCCTGGCTGCGGACGGGCTTACGACGCGGTAGCGCTGGCCGAGTATGGCTTCAGTAGCCACTTGGGTCGAAAGGGGTCCCAGTCAAAGCAAAAATAGAATCTGTACCACAACTCTGAGACTCTGGAACATCATAGTATGTGGCAGCAAGTTAATGGAATCTGGCAATCTGGAAAATAGAGACCAATGACGACTGACGACAGTTCCTCTTCGCCGTGTTGCGAACTGGAAGGTGTGGTTGCTGTGGATTTGTCAGAATCTGCGGCTGATGCCGCCAAGCAGTTCCTCAGCGAATGCAAGAGTCCGGCCGCCTCCAAGATTGAGGCCGGTGCATGTGTGCAGGACAGATATATATATATATATATATGAGATGTATATATTTGTGTAACATGTATATATACTGTATGTATAGTATATATATATATACACACTGTATATGTTAATTATATACAATGTATTATGTTTCAAAAGTAGTTAACCGCCACGTCGGATGGTTTCCAAGGTGCCGCGCCTTTTTAATAGTTTCTCCAAACAAAGTGCAGCGCCCATGCTGGTCCACCCGCAGAGCGCTCGTCACTGATCACCCAAGTGAGTTTTCATGCCTCCCTGGTTTGGCATCGGGCCAATTGCATTCCGACACAGCGAATGATTGCAGAATCGAAGGCAACAGGTGACCACGTGATTTCGAAACACCAAAAACTGAAAGAACAATTGGTCCAACATGTTGTAGTTGGACTAGAGAGGACTTTGGACTTCAAGCACTCTTCCTTTGAGGCTGTGACGGCTTGGCTTTTCTCTTGTGCGAGTGTCTGCACGACGTCTCAGGAGCTCCACCTCATCATTTAGTTGGTATTCTCCAAGGCAAATGATTTCCCTCAACACTGTGATGTCCATTACATCAAGTGCGTCTGCCACTTGTGCTCCAGAAGAAACCCATCGCTTGATCAGTCTTGCCTGGAGCAACGTTCCAAACGCATGCCTATCATGCCATGGTTGGCTGCCGTCCTTGATATTGAGAACGGGTCCATCGGGCTTTGCTCGACATGCAATTCCAACAGTGCGCGACGAAGCTCCGACCACAGGAGCGGGGCATCTGCCCTGCCATATGCCCAGCATCGATGCGGCCATCTGGTTTCCTCTGATTCATGGATGCGAAGAGTCCAAAAGCATCATTTTCACTACGTGTGCGTGGCGTATCCTTGCGACTGATTTGGTGATCCTCAGTTGAAATGCCTGTACGACTTCCTGTAAGATGGACTTTTCCAGAAATCATGTTTGTGCAAGATGGACTTTTAATGGACTTTTTCCACTGAGAAGAGCGTAAGAGGATGCGTTTCGCTGATGAAGTTAAAAAGGTGGGTCGAGCATGTGGCCAGCGCTTCAGTCAGGGACAGGAGCATGCTCCTTTGAACAGAAGCAGGTGATAGCTTCTTCTCTGTCTCTCGAATTTGCGTTGGTGCATTTTTGGTATCTATGGGTTTTGTTTCCAACTCGTAACATTGGCATACATTGGCCATCTTGAAGACCAAGCACCTCGGAAAAGAGCTCTTCGCCATCGCTGTCACTCCCGGGCATTTTGTTTTCCAAATCTAGATCTTGGAAGTTCCAAGGCGTGGGTCAAGATCGGTAATGTTTTTGTTTTTGACCTCTTCCATTGCAGAGATGGGACGAACTTGTTCTGGGACAGCTCTGAGCGGTTCTATGCTGGTTCTTGTATGGTTATTCGAAAAGGCTCCATCTCCATATCATGACCCACTCACCTGTATAATACTGACTGGCTTCGAATCGGCGGCTTCGCTGGGCGACGTAGGACTGGCAACGTTGTCGACCATGCTGAATGCTTTTCTGCCCCTTCCCTCAATGCAAGCTCTTCTTGGAAGCGCAGTCCTTCAGCTGTGCGAATCTAGTGCCGACAGATGTGATGTCACTGGTGTTGAACCCTGGGTATCTTCGAGCTTTCCAAAAGCCAATTCTTCTGGTGGTAATCCGTAATCCCGGATCCCGCTGGTTTCGTTTTGGCTGCGCTGGCTAGAGCTTTTTGGAGTTGCGAAGGTCATGACATTGTGTCTTTGCAAACCCGACATTTCAGGTAATTGCAAACTCTCCGGCGCAAACAGATCATGATCCAGCTTAGGTCAAAGCTTTGATTGCGCTTGCCGTCGTCCTCTGTGGCGAACACAGCTGTTCAGTGTAGTGCTATGATCTACAAAATGATATATATATATATAAGAAATGGAATTGTTTGCCTTGATGATTGGCCCAAGCAATTCCATCCATGGAGATACTGTCATTGAAGGCTCTTTCTTCATGAATGGCGGCGGCATGTCAGGGTATTGGTGGTCCTGCGCACTCTTGACAGGATGAGGAGCGAAAGTCTGGAGTTGCTTCTATCTCCGCAAATCAGCGGTAACCTGCCCAATGATCTCCTGAATCTTTCAAGACCGGGAGCTGCTCCATTCAGCATTGTGTCTGCTTGTGCGTTTGGACGTGTTTGTGGCAGGACCTAAGATATTCATCCAACTGCTGGTAAGTCTTTGGAACAGAATTTGAAATCTTGTCACCTTTGCATGGTTGGAAACTCCTCGTAAACAGCATCCTCGGCGATAGCTGTATACTCCCTCATGATTTTTTTGAGTTGTCGAATTGGTGAAGCGGCTCACGAAGTCCACTGCAAACGTGAAGTAGGAACGAACGAAGTTCGGACCGTGGGGGCGGCAAATGAATGCCAACACGTAGCGCTTGTTTTCAAGCTCTTGAGCCCACCCTCTGCAGACGGTCGGTCTAAGCTCCGGACAGAAGTGAAAAACACGACATGACATGTCGAAACCTGATGTTCAGCGAACATCTTCACACAGGGGCAGTTTTCGGCCCAAAAAACCTATGAAGGTCGCCACGGGTCAGCATCAGCTAACCAAGCTTCCAGCTCTCGCCTCAGCGTTGTGCCGCTGTTGTCTTCCACCCGATCTGGAGGTGGCCGCAAGGAGGCGCAGTAAGCACATGCCCTTCGGGTCATCAGGTTGGAGGTGATGAGAGAGGAGTGCAAGTCCATCTCCATGATGGAGTTCCGGATCAGGCGGTGGCCATCGGTGGTCAACGCTCGAAGGTTCACCACTTCATCACTTTGGAGGTTTAGGGCGGCTCTTGACTCACGTGCTGAGCGCATTGCCTCCTCAGCACGAATCTTTTCCTGGTTGAGCAAGTCCCGCAGTCTCGAGTGGACGACGGGTTCATCCTTTTGGATCTCGACCTCTTTGGTCTTGGGCTTCAGTGCAAGCTCTTTGTTGGAGCTCCATCGGCCGGCCTGTGGAAGGGCCAAAATGGCAAGCCACAGCCATAGGTGCTCATAGCCTTCTTCTTTCTCTTCTCCCTTCTCACACTGCTGGCCTTGTGCCACAGCCAGCAAAGAAAACATCAGGTCATTCTTTGAACAGCTGCCGCCATGGCTCATGGCGAAGACATACGAGAGGGCCTTCGCATTCTGTGCAACGTAGGCGGTGGCAGGGGCTTCTTCGAGCTTTGGCTGTTCCTCATACTCAAAATTCTCTGGGTAGTCAGCCAGTTTGACATTCTCAGGAATGGGCTCTTTCACAGGGACGTACCGTGTTCGAGATCCACAGCTCCCTCCTAAGGGACAGTGTTCATGGAGGGTGAAGGCATCTTGGACGGCCTGTTTGGTCGTGAGGAAGGTGGTGTTCCTTTGAACTGGTTTCCAAATGCCATCATCATCCAGGCATTGTGCTCCATAGCGGCACTGAGAGAAGTCGGCTCGTCTGCCGGGAAGATCACGTAGAGCTCGAGTCTGCCAGGAAAGCGCATGCTTCGGCTGCTCAATGGTGGCATGTCGACCGCCCCTCAGTTGACATAGATAACTCCGTCGGGTGAACATGAGGTGCCGGTCGTGGTGACGATGTCGAGCGGCCTTCAAAGCTTCTTTCTGAGCGGGTGTCCGGCGGCCAAGTGACTGCGTGCGACTCCATAATTTGCATTCGGGTGCAATGAGCAGTTCATCAGGCGCTTCTTCTTCAAGGAGGGCCAGGAACTCATCTTGATGCTTGAGCTGTTCGAAGTCCCAGCCAGTGTCATAGGAGAAGCAGCGGACTTCCATACCCAGGGATTCAGCCACTTGCGCTGTTCGCGCTTTGCCACAGTAGACCTCCCAAAGCAGTCGAGGTCGTTCAGGCTGATGCAGCTCCTTGGTGACATAGGCAGACAGGTCATTGAGCTGTGTGGTGAGGTGGACATCCATGGTTTTCAGCTCATGGCGACGGAGAGGCTTTGTCTTCTCCTCATCGGTGATTGCAGCCTTCTCGAATGCTGTGAAGCCACTTTCGGCAAGCATGAAGTCGTTGAGAATGTAGTCGTCATCTTGCTCGATTCCTTGGTCATTGGTCCTCAGGACAAACTCGGGTCGCTCAACGTCGTAGTTGATGCTGAGGTGTTCATTGGTGAGCGACCAGAGATATTCACCTTGTCTTCCCAATGTGGCCGGCATCCATGGTGAGCTGCCGATCCGTAGTCGCCTCTGGGCGAAGTCCATGGTGCCTCGATGATCGGTCGGCCACAGAGCATTGGCGTGTTGCCAGGCAGCAAGAACAGTTCGATGGTGTGGTACTTGTGATCCACAAAGGTGGGAATGTGAGCGGACCAAGCTGACCACATCGATGCATCACCTCCAAACTGGAAGCGGCGTCGGCCTTTGCTCATCTTGATGACCTCAATGGGGAAGTCCAGGGTGCTCAAATGATCAAGGTATCTTCGGAAAGGCCCATAACCAGACAGGAAGGCGCTTGCTCCAGGGTCAAGCATCACACATTCTGGCCTTTCCGCACCATTGGAGTCCTGGAAGATCAGGAGAGCGCTTTCATCGGCCTTGCGCTCGAGTGCCATTGCCTCGGTCGTTGAGGATGCCGGGCGCTTGGCAGCAGGTGTGCGTGTAGTTGGGCTCGATGAACTCTGTGGGCAATTGGCTGCCCAGTGGCCGGCTTGGCCACATCGGAGGCAAGTCATGTTTGCTCTTGCACGCCCTTTTGGATCTGCTTTGCCAGCTCCGTGAGGTGGATAGCGGATCGTGGTCTTTGACTTGCCACTTTTGGACCCACCCTTCCCTTTTCCTTTTGTCCGCCAGGAGGTAGCTGATGCCGGTGAGGTAGCATTGGATGAAGATCCTCCCTTCGAAGGCGAGACATTTCCGCCGTCAGTCAAGGCGACGATGGGAAGGTAGCCTCGAGCTGTTTGAGTTCTTGGAAGCGACGACGGGCGTCCGTGTAGGAAGCGAAGGCAGCATCATACGCAGCAGCCATCTGTGAAGGGCTGTTGACCCCATCGTTGTCTGGCCAGGGTTCTTCTTCTCCATAGTAACCAGCATCGTGGTCGAAGTCTTGGCCTTCATCATAGACCTCATAGTCATGACCTTCTTCAGCCCATTGTTCATCCTCCTCGTAGTATCCAGCTTCCCAACCATCATCATCTGGATACGCCTCGTCCTCATAGTCATCGGCCATGTAGGCTCTCTGCTTCCACAAGTGTCCACCACCAAAGCGGTGATTCCGCTCAGCATTCCAGCCTCCTCCCTTGTAGTCCTGGCCAATTGGATCAGGTAGAGAGCCTCAATCACCGCATTCTTCTCCAGGTTTGGTGCTTTCTCTTTGCTCTCTTGGGAGGCCGGAGCGGCGAAGAAGACGCCAGCCTTGAACCGAAGCTGGAAGCTCGATGCGGTGCTGCTGCAGCTTTCTGTATGCTTCTTCATGGTCGGCCACGTACAGCAACAACGTCTGGCCAGGAGAGCGCTGCAGCAGGTTGAAGTATGCTTCAAAGTCCGTGGGAAGCTGTACCTTGGCGTCGTAGGCGAAGTTGGCATCGAGGGTCTCAATGACCTTCTTGAAGGCGTCCTCTTTTGGCCGGTGAAGACTGGCGCATAGCTGTCCCTCAGGTCCATATAGGAAGTGCCATCTTGTGAGATCGATCCCGACGCCTGCGGCTTTTCTTTCTTTTGACCAGGAGGTGGCATGTAGCTGTTCACAGGGACAAAGGGCTCTGCTTGGATGTGGCGAACAGGTAGAGGAGGAATCCACCAAGCCAGAGCGAGAACTGCTACTGCCAATCGTGCCGCGGGTCTCAGCCGGGACGAAGAGCTCGTTGTCGCGAAGTGCGCAGGTAGGGAGCCCGGGGCGACCGGGCTCCGCTACCAATGTCGAATTGGTGAAGCGGCTCACGAAGTCCACTGCAAACGTGAAGTAGGAACGAACGAAGTTCGGACCGTGGGGGCGGCGAATGAATGCCAACGCGTAGCGCTTGTTTTCAAGCTCTTGAGCCCGCCCTCTGCGGACGGTCGGTCTAAGCTCCGGACAGAAGTGAAAAACACGACATGACATGTCGAAACCTGATGTTCAGCGAACATCTTCACAGGAGTATATATATATATATTTATATACGAAAGCCAGCCGGCAGGCAGGGGAGTGAGTAAAGGGGGTGAGGGGGGTGGTCGCGAGAGGGCCAATTCCGGAGAGTTGAACCCAGAGCCTGGTGGGGGAGAGCGAAAAACAGAGGTGGGCCACTTGGTAGTGAACAATGAGTGGTTTGAGGGGTGTTGTGATGCCGGTGATGTAATTGACGGCGAAGAGTGCATCATCAGCATCACGAGGGGCTCAGGAGGCAATGTAAACCGTTTTCTACCAGGGGTGGGAGTTCATGTCAATGATAGGAGAGAGGGGACAACGGGATGCGAAAAGTTTCCAGATAAGGCAGATGAGCGCCTTTCATGGCCAGTGAAATAGTGTTCGACCAGGGGTGAAAGGGAGCTTGTTAAGACATTCATTATCTGTGAGGAACCAGAATGCTGTGGGGAAGGTCGAAGACAGGCAGAGGACGTGGTAGGAAAAGAGGGCCTGCAAGAAATGTTAGAGTTGTTTGGGGGTGCCAATTGTTAACGGTGAAGACGCCTGTTAACTATACGCAAAAGGGCACCCCATATGGGGTGCGAGTTCGTGTAATGCTGTGGTCCGTTGAGGGCAGGAAAGAGAACAAAATACAGCGGGCAAGCTTTGAATTGCTTGGGGTGCCTTTTTTAACGGTGAAGAGGCCTAGTTGCCGGACTCAAAAGGGCACCCCAAGGTCTAGTATCCAAGACTTTCCTTCATTTGATTAAACACACTTCCTTCAGGGTGCCCTTTTTCACCTCCAAAACCTCCCTCCACCAACACAAAAAAGGGCACCCCCCAACTTTGTATTCTAGTTTCTCTTTCTACTCCTGTACAAATGTCTGCAATATCCACTTCACTACATAAAGGTGCGCTTGGCCCGATGTTCGCCAATCTTCATCTTGCACGCTCGAGGGGCTGCAATATCAACTTCACCACTTCCAGCCCTCTACCTACATGCGTATGTCCCCTCCCAAAGCCCTGCCGATAACCTCGCCCCTCAACTCCCCATAACACTGATTGGCGCCGCGCAGCAAGCTACCGCCCCTCACTTCCTTCGAGGGTACCCTTTTTCACCTCCAAAACAAGCCTGACCACGACGAACAAGGGCGCCCCTCCCCCGAACCTGTGTACTATATTTTCTGTTTCTACTTCTATAAGGTCGCTACGATGTCAACTTCGCCACCTAAACGTATGCTTTGCCCAATGTCAGCCAATCCCTTCATCTCGCGCGCTCCAGTAGCTGCAATATTTTCAGCTTCACCACTTCCAGCCCTCTACCTATATGCGTATATGTCTCCTCCCGAAAGCCTGCCGATAACCTCGGCCCTCAACCCCCCATAGCGCCGCGCAGCAAGCTACCACCCTATACACATACATGCCGAAAGCCTGCCGATAACCTTGCCCCTCGACCCCCCATAACCATCTTTGCTCACTGATTGGCGCCGCGCGGCAATCTACCACCCCTCACTTCCTTCCCGGGTGGCCTTCTTCATCCTTTTTCAATCCAAAACGAGCCCGAACCACGACGAAAAAGGTTCCCCCCCGAAGCTATGTACTATACTTTCCATTTCTACATCCTATGAGAGTGGCTGCGATGTCAACTTCACCACTTCCACCTACTCTTTCTCCACTCTACCCTCTAACACACCCCTCACCTAAAACGAAAAGAAGCGGCCGTGCCCAAAACGCGAGCCTCACCCTAAGGGCATCCCCCTTGGCGCAAAGGCTGGCTTTCGTCCCCTCCCTTCTCAGGTATATATATATGTATATATATATATCACGAAAGCCGAAAGCCAGCCGATAGGCTAGGAGTTGGGATGGGTGCTCGAGCCCAGAGCGTGGTGGGGGAGAGCGAAAAAGCTAGGGAGTGAAAATGTATGGTTTTGGGATGTTGTGATGCAAGTGATGTAATTGACATCGTTGCATGATGAGGGGCTCAGGGCAACCGTGTGTGGTGGCCATTGAAGTAGCGTTCGACCAGGGGTGAAAGGGAGGCGCGTGTCTCTTAAGACACTGTGTGATCTGTGAGGGCAGGAGAGGGAACAGAATGCTGCGGGGAAGGTGGAAGACAGGCATAGCGGAGGAAGACGCGGTGGTAGGAAAAGAGGGTTTGCAAGAATTCTTGGAGTTGCTTGGGGGTGCCCTTTTTGATGGTGAAGACGCATGCGCAAAAGGGGGCCCCATATTGGGGTGCGAGTTCATGTAATGATGCGGTCCGTTGAGGGCAGGAAAGAGAACAGAATGCAGCGGGCAAGCTTTGAATTGCTTGGGGTGCTCTTTTTAATGGTGAGGAGGCCTAGTAGCCAGATTCAAAAGGCCACCCCATATGGGGTGGGAGTTCATGTGGATGAGACAGGCATGCGGAGGAGGACGTGATAGGAAAAGAGGGATTGCAAGAAACGGTTTGAATCAGTGAGAACAGGGGGAACAGAATGCAGCGGGCAAGCTTTGAGTTGCTTGGGGGTGCCCTTTTTTTACGGTGAGGAGGCCTGTTGACCAGACGCAAAAGGGCACCCCATATGGAGTGGGAGTTCATGTGCAGGATAGGCATAGCGGGGAGGATGTGATAGGAAAAGAGGTGGGGAGCTCACCAGGGATCTCGCATTCACCCCCCATGACCATATTGATATCTTTTACGGTGGCTGGCTTTCGGCCCCTTGCTTGTCAGGTGTATGCTTATTTATGTTTTTTGTATACATGTTTGAGTTAAGGCCTGCGGAATTGCTGCCCAATCAATCATTTTTTCTGAGCCTCTGTTAAGCACCGTGCCGTGTCGGATTTATCACAGTTTCCTTCTGGGCTTGGGGGGCTCTGGATCACAAGGTCCGAAGCAGCAAAACATTAGGTAACCTAACCATGGAGTTCCCAACATGCTTTTGATTTTGATCCCCAAATTGCTGAACATTTCAAAGCCTGTGTAGCTGTAAAACCCAGCCCCAATCCTCTTTTCCCTGGTGCGCTCCCCTCTTGAGAGCCTGGAATGGCCGATTACCTTCCCCAACAATAGTGCATAGGTGAAAGGTGGAGCGCTATATCACATGTTGGCCACAAAAGAAAACTGTAACTTCTGCTCTGCAGGTAGTTTGTGCAGACTTCTTCAAGCTTGACCTTGAACCCAAGGCTTGCCTATTTTTTGTTTACAAACATGCAACTGCAATATTATTGTTTTTTTGGCAAAGTTGAGCACGTGCTTTTGATGTCAAAAAAATCAAGGCGGATGTGATTTGGGATTGCACCTTTCTTTGCGCCCTTGACCCATCAGTTCGGGTGGCCTGGGCCCAGAAGACACATTCTTTGCTGAAACCCGGTGGCACCTTGCTGACCTGCATCTTCCCCATTTGTGACAAGGAGAGAACTCAGAGAACCGACACAGAGATGGTGAAGTGAGACCGAACCATGGCGAAACTGTTGATGAAACTCTTAGAACAGGCCAATCTTGCCACAAGTCTAAGCTAGAGCATATTGAACCCTTTGTGCAAGATTCAAATAAATTGTATAGCAGCTTGCGCTTCAGCTTCTCACTGGGCTTTGCGTCCAGTGGAAGCAAGTTCTCTTGTGTGATGAGCATGGCACTGGTCAGGAGGGTGGACCGCCCTTTGCAATGTCGGTCCCGTTGGTGCGTTCTTTGCTAGAGCCTGAAGGCAGCACTTGGGGTGGTCAGCGTTGGTGTTTCTTGGTGCACTTTTTTACTGCAGGCAGGCACCAACTGCAAGTGACAATTTCAGGAACTTTGACAATGTCACAGTGTTGCGTCATATTTTTCCTACAACATATATTGCCAACGTGCCCACAGTATATAATTGTTGCGGTTTGTGGGCATTTCGAGTGTTTGCCAAAGCACAAGTCCGGATCCTGTAAGATTTACAACTGTATCGAAGATGTCTCTTGATTTGCAGGATTTCAGGCAGTCGAGGTCCGCGAGGACGCAGCGGATCACGGTGCTGGCGGTGGGGCTTTTGTGGCCAAAACTGCATTTGGGAGGTGGACTTTGAAGGCAGGCGCTGGTGACGGCGGCCTCCGGACTCTCATCATCTTTCATCCGTTTAAAGAAGAATTCCTGGGAATGAGATCGAAGTTCGAAGTCGTGGAAGATACTTTTCAAAGCTCACCTGATTGAAAGAGACAAGTCTCCTTTTTTTTTTTTTGTCTAGCCCTCTGTGTTGTCTCGCTCCGCAATCCTGGGATACAATCTTTAGGCGAAGATGAATGCTTGAAAGTGCAGAAGCAATCATTCTCTGCAGAATAGGATCGTTGTCCCACCTTAAACAGGGCCTCAATACTCTGTGGTATTGGCAAACAGGATCTAAGGCAAACAGGATCGAAGTCAAAAGCATACAGCATCTCAATCTCGCGTGCCTGTGTGGACCTGAATCGAGAAGGGCGACTCCCAAGCTACATATCGTTCACTAGCTTGTGCAACCAACAAAAGTATTCGGCACTCATGAGTGGCCATGCAAGAGTGTAGGAAGACAGGGAAGGAACTTTTCAAGGTTTGCCAGTAGAAATACAGTAACAAGCTGCAGGAGGGGAAGAGCAAGGACGAAAGCAGCAACGAAAAGGGAAGCAAAGGGCGAAGAGCAGGGGAAGATGGGGGGGAAGAACAAGAGAGAAGAAGGGAGAGCAGGAAGATCAAGGGACAAGTACATAGGGAAATGCAATGTGGACAAAGGGGAAGGAAGAACTTGAAGACACAAGGAAGGGGCAACAAAAAACAGCGGGGAAGCAACAGCACGTTCATGAGGTCTCCTCTCACATGCTCATATTACAGATCATTGTATGGCATCGCCGGAGACCCGTCACACAATGCAACTGTGGTTTGATTTGTTTGAGAGAGTTTGGCCATGCAGGCGTGATCTGAGTTCTGAAGCTGTGATGAAAAAGAGGTAGAGACCTCCTGCTGTGACTGCAATGCAGCGGCAAAAGGCACAAAGAGAATTTTGCCCCAAGTGCAGGAGGTGGGATGCTGGGTGCAAAACCTGCAATCCGAGTAAATCTTTTACCTGCTGCAGCCGTGGCAAACTTATACAATTACATTTAATCTATATATTCTCCATATGCGATTCAAGCTGCAAAGCAGCTGAGGATCGACTGTCAGGGGTTTGTTGAGAATCCTGCTTCGGGCCAAAAGGATCGTAAGTCAACCAAGGCATTTTGAGTTTTGCAGGAAGCTTTTGGACAGGTCTCCAGCATTGTTCTCCTGCGCCTGCCAGGAGTAACAATTTCTGCCATTGCTGCCCCCGCAGCTGCTTGTAGTTCGCTCGTTTGCGTTCGAGAGAGAAAGAGCCAAGAGGCATTTGCAGTCAGTAGTGTGATGAACCTAAGCTTAGCTGCAAGACTGCAAGATGCAGACTATGCAAGACGCCTGTCCAAGTGCAACGAAGCAGTTGGAGATGTCCTTTATGTTAGGCTCCTCTTCTTCAGCTCGCTTTCTCCATGGCTGGTGTGGTACTTTCTTGGTTGAAGTTTGGAAAACACTTTCCAGCTGAGCTGAGCTGCAGCTTCCAGCCGTTTGAGAGCCTGCTTGGCAGTTGCATGCCCCGAAAGATGAACACATGCAAAAAAGACACGCGTTATAGCATGGTATGACAGCCTGTAGATTTTGCAACAAGTTCCAACCGCCCAGCTCCAAGCATTTGGCAAGCAATGCGGCTGCCAGGCTGATTCACAACTTGCCAGTATGTCCAATATTGGGAAGATTAGGTTCAATTGTTTGCCGCAGATGTTGGGGTTCTGAACATCATCAGATTCAAAGGTGGTAGTGTACTGCTAAGGAGGGTTGAGAATGCTGTACATCCTCCGAAGGGTTGTTTAGCTAATGAGCTAATGTGTTCCCCAAGCTCCGAGTAGCTCTGGCCCTGCTTTGTCCAGGCTTTGAGACGATACTGCGAACTCATCTTCGAGGTGAAAGTGTGCTTGGGATCAAAGGGCTTCACGGATTCGAAGATGATGGATTTTGTACATTTTTGTGCCAATCGATTGGAGACTTGTCCCTCACCTTGCAGTTGGAGTTCGACATTGGGCATCCGCAGCACAGGCCAGGACGTGAGAGCCCACAACCACAACCGATCTAAAGCCCTTTCAAACTTCATTCCAAAACCTGGTACCTTCAACATCAGCCTGTGCATGATTCTACTCTGAGCATAGGAGCATTGCTCTGTGTTGACCTACAAACCAAGGATTGAACAAAGCATTGAAAAGCGAAGTCAACTGGTGGCCTTCCAAGCTTGCAAGCCTAACAGCAAGTAGATCCGAGCGAATCCGTACCCGTTCACAATTCTGAGGGAATCTTCCAGCACTATCTCGCACAGTGAGAAGTGTATATATATATATAATATATACTACAATAATATATCAACAACTTTTTACCTGCACCGCTGTTTCTAAGTGCTGGATCCCAAATGTTGGCATGGGTTCCTGGGCGATTTAGTGATAGATCCTTTGTAGTGATTGCGTGTGGTCTCATCAGACCACACAGCCGTCAGACGGAGGGCTTGCAGTGTGGTGCCCAAACAAATGTGTGGAACTTATTTGCTCCAATTACAATCCTGCCTCCAGTCACACAAAGTCATGCTATCACAATGCAGATCCACTCAAGACACTCTGGAACTCTTGCGTTCCTCTGATCTTTCCTGAGGCAGGCAAGTTAGCTGGCGCCATCGTGGCACGAATCCGCGAGAAAAGCAGGGTATCCATAGACACCGTCCGGGGGCCCAGAGTGTGGTGACATAGGATTCTTCATTTTCGGTTCAGAACCGCAAAAGATGGTGCAAGGTTGGACCACAGGCAGGGTACACGGCCTTAAAGTCCATCATGATCGCAGAGGAATATGCCAAGCAGGCCCGAATTGGTTTGTGACCCACGGATGTGCAACAAAGAGCAAAGTTAGTTACACAAGTAACAAATATCTCTAAAACATCTAGGAACCAAATCATTAGTGCGAGCGCTTCCCCGCCGCCTTTAGGGGAGCTTCCTCGAAGAAGAGCGAGCTATCCTGCGTAGTAGCTACTTGCAGGTACTAGCTACCTCTTCTACTAGCGGCCTACCCCCCGGGGCTAAAAAATAAATAGTGCTTTTCGTGTCAGGACTTCAAGGACAAAGTGCTAGTCGTTCGCCCTGAGATGGCCAGGACCTCGAACTTTCTGGTTTGACCTACCTGAAAGTGCTTTTGGGGTCAGCATCAAGTGGATGGACATGGGCGCAGTCAAGTGGTTCTGGAGAGTACAATATATGGTGCTATATATATATATATATAATGGGTCCATTTAGATCTTGGCAACTAAGGTCAAGCTCGAACCAAGGGAGGCGCCGAGTGGCCGCATGACGGAGACCAACGCGCCAAGCTGGCAGCACTTCGGGTCCGCATACTTCAGTCATTACATGGTAGAGTTCCCTTTGGCTTTTGATTTGGCAGTGCTTTGCAAGGGCTCTTGGTAATTCCCAACGTTTCCCTTTCTGGCAGAGTCAATCTATGTGTGTGTATAGGCTGTATAGGTGTGTTCATTTGCAGTCATGCGCTGGTGGTCTCAATAGCTTTGGCTTGGGCCTGCTGCACCATCGACCTTGCTTGGACCTATCCTTCGTGGTACTTCTGGTTCTCTTCGCCTGCCTTATCGGTTGTTGCTGGTCTCTACCTCTTCGAGATTCAAGCTTTTCTGACCTTTCACTTTTGATCACTTTTGTGCGCCTGGTGCAAGTGCTGTGGTACCCCTGCTGCGCCTCCAACTCAGGTCCAGAGTCCTGCTGTTGCTCTCAAGTGACTGAGCTCCTCTCACGTTTTGCCTTCCGGCCTAGCCCCCTGTGACATGGAAGAGCTTTAAGTGCAACGAGACAAGGAACAGTGGGGGCTTGCAAAACAGCTTAGTTCATTTTGTGACATTGCAGGTTGCGCATGCACGTGGCTGCAGCCGATCAGTTCAAGGCACGGGTGCTGCGGAAACATGTTGCTACTGCGGAAAGACAATTTTGATTTTCCCGAATGCGTAGCGAAGGGTTCTCGTTTGACTCTGGGGGTCTGTGGGTAGACTCTTGTTCGCGACTCGTTGTCGTAGCGACCGCAACCGTCCGACCGTTCGCGATAGGGCGTTATGGCGCTGACATTGGGCGAAGCAAACAAAAAGAGGGTTTTGGATGGCAGCATGGCGTGTCAGATTCGTGTGAAATAGCAAGGAAACGTGTGGAAACGTGAGAGGATGAAGGGTGGAGTGGAGGATGATTTGACTGGATTTCAATTTTCTTGGCTGTCAGATTGGGATTGGCGTCGGGAGAGTTGTGTTTTTGAGGTGTCGAATGTGGCCGTGACATTGGGATTTGCATTTGGGGCTGTTGCTTGGAAGCTGTGTTTTTGTGACAAGTTTCAGCAACAATCGTCACTTTGGTGGATGGGAGCGTGTTGAAACTTGAAATCACTCCAAACGTGTGGTGTGGTGCAAACTTAACTTTGCTGAAGACATGAGTGTGATTGAGCATGTCATATCGTCACTTTTCCCTGTTGGAGGCGTCGAATCGTGAGGTCCGTGAGGTTGCGATGTTTGGTGGAGGTGAATGTCACTATGACATAAGGATTGGCGTGTCAGCAGTTGTGGTTTTGAGGGGCTGGGACTGTGAAACCGCTTGGCAGGGCTACAGAAAGTCTTGTTTCTGGAGTCTCGTACGAAATGTTCGTCTTGGAGACTGGACATGTGACTTTGGAGGAAGTCTCGCACGAAGGGCTTGTTTTGCAGACTTGACGCGTGACTTTTGGAGGAAGTCTCGTGCGAAACGTTTGTTTTGGAGAGACGCGTGGGTCTTCGAGGAAGAGTGTTGCAAAAGCGTATCGCACGAGAGCGCCTAGAACAATTTTCCACAAGAGTGTCTTGCAGGATCTTACAAGAGTGTTCTACAAGAGTGTCCCGCAGAAGTGCCCCACAAGAGCGTTGCACGAGAGTGTCCCACAAGAGCGTTCTACCAGAGTGTCTCCTACAAGAGTGTCGAACAATGTTTGGGCATTTGTTTTCAAGTGCGTGTGTGCATTCGGACTCGTGGGTTCCATCTTGTTTTTCCATATTTCTTGCTGCTTGCAAGCAAGGTTTACTTGGAAAAAACTTGAATGTTGCTTTGCTTGGAAAGACTCTTAGCTAACCTTTTACTACAAACCCTTTCTCATGGCTGGAACGACAACAAAAACAAAATGAACATTCCCAAGAGACAACAGTTGAAGGTGAAGGCAAAGTCAGAGGTTTAAACACAAATGGATTTGCTAGGAGGTTCAGCAGGAGCTTGTTTATTTCAGCCGCACGCTCAGACAGCCTTGTGCACTGTGTAACACGGGGTACGGGTTCTGGACCGTGGGTTTGCATTTGTGAAGAAGGCATTTTCGCTGCCAGGCTCGACCAAGATCTCCCTCTACGTAGAATATAGAATCTAGGAAGCGTGCCCCAGAATTTTGCAGTGGCCTAAAACTGGTTGTTGAAATTTGATTTGTGAAGAGAAGTACCCTTAAACATTTAGCAATTTGAAGAACATGATCTTGGACGCTGCAGTTTGTACTGCAAAATGAGGATATCAGGATATCTCATGACCGTCCCGTGAAGTTCAACGGGGATGCATTCCGTGTGTCCTTTTCCCGCTCTTACCTGTTTTGCGGGTGTGTGCTCTTGTTGGAGTTCACTTCTCGTGGCAGGCACAATATGGCACTATTGTAGATTCCTGCTGTTTTGAAAGTCTGAAGGACGCGCTGTAATTCGACAAGTAGACTTGGAGGCAAGCAGTGCTTTGGATGTGGTGGTGATGTGTTGGTTCAGGTTCTGTCTCAGGTGCAGTGAATGGTGTGCATTTGAGAAAACTGCCAATCAAGTCTCGCGCCAAAGCTTCGTTTCGGAATGTTCGAGTTTCACAGTTCCTAGCAGGTGCAGCCCTTTTGGAAGTCAAAGTGCATGAAGTTCAGATTTCGGAGCAGGCGCAGCACACTAAGGATTTTGTGCTGGGCGGACTTCAATGTGCAGATCTTGTGGCAGGTGCAGTGCCCTACAGACCTCGATGTGGAGCGAGCTGCAGTGCCAGCTCCACCAGCACCAGCACCGTTGCGATTCACGGTCCTTTCTCCACGGTCCTTTGGCGTTAAGGCGGGGACACCAACCCGGGCACCGCTGCCGGACTCCTTTCTCGCCTGGTGGAGTCCAAAGGCGTTCGCGCCTCAGTGGGCAAATGATTGTGTCTTGAACATTGTCGAAACGAGGTTAAACAATGTTAAACATGGCCCTTTGTTTAGCAATTTTTGCACTTTGGCCTTGAAGGGCATGACAGGACCCCCGGAAAGGGTGCTGTGGTTTGGTTTTGATACCAATGTGGTAGAAACGATTTCTTCCTGATCACCAGTTGGATTTGTGAAACCCCATTTTTGTGGATGCAATTTCAACATCCAAACTGCCGCTGTTGATTTTGCACCAAGACGGCTCCAGTGGCATGTGTCAGCCTCAGAGCTTCTGCTTTGGCGCCTCAGGATGCTGGATCCAAAAACAATCTTACCACCCACTTTATCACTTTACACTATACGCATTTTGCCAGGCCCGCCACTCGGTGAAATCTCTTCAACAAAGAACTCATGCAGATATTTTCAACTCGTCTTCGAAGCGGTGGTAACACCCACGTGGGTTCTCAGTTTCCAGAGATGCTGTGCTCTGACAGGCATGGGTGCTGCAGCTACATCCAAGGTTTACAAGGCACTGTATCTACTGTATCTAGGCTTTCCAACGCAAACGAGGAGGGCCTTGCGGGCTGGTGCGAGGCTTTCCTCATCACCGAGGACTACCTGCGAAGGAACAAGAGCCTGGGCGATAAGGTCGGATAGATTCGTTTCTATCCTTTGGGGGCCAAGGCCAGAATTGCACCAAGGTGATTGCCTTCCATGCTCGAAAGGATACCTTCAAGGCAGATGCCGAGGACCATGCTGCGAATTTGGTCGTTGAACAGTGTGCATTTCCAGCCTACCTTTTGTTTGCAGCTTCACAAACTCCAAACCTTGCTTGTGGGATTGATTGGCTTGGCCTGGCCAATCTTTTTCATTGACTGGCTGTTCTACTGGCTCCAAGAGAACTGAACGTGTCAGACCGACAATTGGATCATAATTTGCCCAGCAAAATCCTCAAGGAATATGGCTCTTGAGCACAAAGATTCCGGATCAATCTCAAGAACCAAAGTTGTTGCGAAAGCATGCAAAGCGATTGCACACATGGCGGAAGCCACCACGGAACCCCAGAGTCACATGGCTTTTGGACATTACTATGCGGCCGGGCGAGCAGACACGCTTTCGTTCTGGACCCATGAAGGCCTGCCTGAGAGTCAGGAACTCATGGGAACAAGGAGAGAAGTATTTTAGCTGTGTGCGCCCCTAAATAGCAGAGACGCATTGATCGCAAGTGTGACGCAACTCGCAGTTGCCAAGCTGTGACAACACCTAGCCCATATGGCACTTTGGATTGGAGGGCAATCAGATTTGCTTGTATTACAGTTGCTGCTCTAGATGTGCAAGTACCACAGTTGAGACTTGTACATCTGCAGTGTGCGGGTCTGCCACAAGTACATCTGCGGCTCTTCTAGAGCTGCTGCTTCAGATGTGGGCGGGGGGTCGCTTGTGTAGCGCGTTTTGGGTCGCTTGTGCGTCGCGTCTAGTACCACCACCACCACCACCACCACCACTACTACTACTATTACTATATACTACTACTACTACTACTACTACTACTACTACTACTACTACTACTA